GATCCCGTACAAGGGCGTCTCTGTTTGTTAGTTTCAAAGGGTGCTATATTTATCCAATATCTTTTGATACGCGATCGATGGTCGTTATTGAAAATGGTATTCGGAGTCAGGAATCTCGTCCTGGCTTGTTTTTTCGTCCGGTTATCACCGCTTTTCGATAATTAGATCGAAAAGGGAGGAACGGAGACTGACATGACGGTAAAAAGAGAGTTAAAAGCGAAAAGGGGAACGGAGGACGAGAAAGGAAACGTTTTGTCACGGCAGAACCCCTCCCCCACCCACTGGGTTCAGAGACCGGGTAAATTGAAAACTTTTATTTTACCTTAGCATTATGAAACTATAAATTAGGACGGATGTAAGTAAGGTAAAACATATAACAACACACCATCCGAATATATTATGGAGTGATTGATGGCTTACGTAGGAAGAGGAGAAGAGTGTGAGAGGTTGTGACCCTTGACACTTTTATTACAGAATAGGACACACATGTCCTTTCTTTCCGCTAACATAGCAGTTTTGAAAGTAGAGCAAAAGATAGAGAAAGTGCGAGTGAATGATCGCGGAGAGAAAGAGAGAGAAAACGAAGAAATAATGATGTTTAGATGATTATTTTCATATGATGATAACATAGTGAGAGAGATAAACAATTATTCATAGATCCTAGATCTATCGATAGATTGATTTGTACATAGATGGGAGATAGAGAGAGAGAGAAAAGAGAGAGAGAGAGAGAGAGAGAGAGAGAGAGAGAGAGAGAGAGAGAGAGAGAGAGAGAGAATATAGACAGAGATATTGAAAGATTGTCATTTAGTGAATGAGGGAGTGTTTTAATGAGTGATTGAGAGATTCAGTTAGTGAGAGAAAGAGATTGAAGTTTTAAGAAAGTAACAAGGGAATGAATGAGAGTGAAAGAATGAAAGAGAGGGTGAGTGGTTTAGGCGTCCATCTTTTCGTAACTTCCATTATATTGAGGTGCCTTTTACAAGCAATAGCAGTAAGTCGATAGCTGCAGATTTGGTTCAGTGTATTCGCATGTTTATTCAGCCCACAATTTTTTGTTAATGGGTCACACAGGCAGTAGACTCTCATTATGATCTTTATAGAACGGTCATTATTTCAAGGGTTAATTTAATAGGCCAGCACGTCAAGAGGTCAAATCCTGTCACTTAGTATTTGAAGCACATGTTTGCTTCTACCTTGAAGAGGGTAATAAAACTGGTTGTCCTCTCTCTTAACAGGAAGTGTTCTTCAAATATTGCAGTTTTCCAGTCCTTGCAAACGCGTCAAATTAAAAATGAAGAAATTAAAACAGTACTAATTTTTGCGGTTACGAATTAGGACCATTTAGTCGGGTGAATAACTTGTTTCTGCTGTCCTCGATTCCTGAAATTACGTGTGTTACGAGGTCTCGTAGGCGAGAAGCTTACGAAATGCTGTGAAAATTCGTGCCACATACCAGGCAGTTGAATAGGTACTACAACTTCCAAATTCAACCGGCAGACATGACAACGTTTGCGAATTTTAAGCTTAGGATAATTTTAATATGTGTTAGTTTTATTTTTGATTGTTAAAATCAACAAAAGTCTATTGGGTTCACTGTTTATCCGATTTGTATGCGCGGCGTTAAGATTGTTTAAATTATTATGCGGCTTATGACGCATTTCCTTTCCGATGACACCATGTCCTCGGCTTCCTTTTTGATATTGAGATTCTAAACTATTCTTAAATTATTATTTTATATACTTAATAGCTTGATACATACGAATAGGTTTTTCAGATTTCCTCTTCGGGTCTGAGTGATGTAGTTTAGCCGTTTCCTATCATTTTGAGCTTCTATTCTCGCTGAATCTTTAGAGATTTTTTGTTTAAACAGGTGTTTTTTAATACATTTGTGGTGATATGTGGAATGATTGTGTGGGTTGTTAAAGCCGAAACAACGAGATTAGGCGGACCAAAATGCTTGTTAGCTGATCGAACAACATTTTCTTATATATTTGATTATTTACAAAAATGAAACCAGGCTTCTGAGTACGCCATAGGCGTAGCCGATGAAAAATCAATTCCAGCGTGTTATTTCCATCAGTGACTGTTACTAATAAGATTTAGCCGCAGAAGACAGGCATTTGGCTTGTCTTCCTTCTAAATTCAATTAAAATGCCTTTTGTCACCGTTAAGGTGGAATTAAAAGAAAACATGTCGTATAAAGAAATCCAATCTTTACAAGACTACAAGTACAAAAAAGGAAAAATTCCATGAATTTCAAAAGGTTAGAGTTTATTTCAGAACTTGAATGGTTAACGTATGCAAAATTCAAATCAATAAGCGATAAGAATAGGGATAAGCGTAAGGCTGTGGTAGATAAAATGGCGAGTTAGGGTGTAAAATTCTTCTATAAAGGAACAAGCTGTTTAAATTATTGAAATTTGTTAACTTATAGAATATGTATTAGATAATCGAACTTTCGTAACCGGCCCGGACTTGAGGGATGATTACTTTTACATTGATTGATCAGAACCCTTTCAATAATTTTGAGTTTCACACTCGGCTCCACGTGATCGCCCAGGTGCTCCGACCTTTTTCCACCCTCTTTACGTCGAGCACTCCCCTTCCGAAGTCCAATTTAGATCCCTCGACTCTTCAAGAGCAGCCCCTATAATTAACCCTATAGAGTGGGGCTGACGAGCTGGGGGAGTTTATAAATGTTAACACGATGTTTAAAACAGAATCTTTTGACTTCTTTCGGGAGGAAAAACAGAACAATGAATTTTTATGGCTAATCGATAATTGTAATTGCCCATAAAGCTTACGACCTCGGCTGTCGCGTGAGTTACCACCCTTGGCTTTAGTATGCCACGAGACGCCTTCTACTTTTCTCCGTTTTTACAAATAATACAGAACTTATCATTCTTATTAATCAAATGATAAAAACCTTCCGGCTTTTCTTGGTTTTGGCCCTTTTTTTTTAGAAAACCCAAAGTGTAAACGTAATCGATATTATTCCAACCGAAAAGCACGGAATGATATTCGTTTTCAAAGCTAAGCAAGCATAAGCAATTTGTAACTCCACGGAAAATACTTCTGAAAGTTTTTCACTTTCAGACTATTTAAAAAAGCCAATACAGAAGGGAAAGTTAGTTATCAGAACTCTATTTATTTTTTGCTCGCCTACAAATGCAAGTGGAATCAGAATAGATAAAAATAAACTGACGGTTTGCAAGCAGTTTTTAGGATCTCTGTTAATAGAACTTCATTGTACAATGATCGTTTATCCGTTTGATGAAAAAGTGGATTTATAAACAATTCGTTCTCGACCATTCTTATTATGATTTATTATGAATGGTTTAGTCAGAAAAGATTCTATTGGGCCCTCATTGGGTGGACGTGGACAATGCAAAAAAAAGTGTCCATGAATTTGGTTAAATTTATTTTTCGTGATTGGTGGATCTGCAGCACGGCAGATGCATTTTTGGTCTGGCTATCTTCATAATGTTGGTCTGTCCGACAGGCTTCTTCAATATTTCTGAGAATCAAATCTGTGTAATTTAGATTGTTGCTGACGGTCCTTTTTGATATAGAGATATAGAGTTTTTAATGTTTGTTAATGAATATTTTTAGTGTTAAATGTCTTAAGTTAGAAAATCAACAAAGAGATACCAATTTCCACTCGAGTCAAATTCCTGGGACTATATCTCGACAGCAGACTGATGTGGAATCCCCACACAAGACTTAAAAAGACTTGGATTACTAAGAAGACTTCTAAGACCGAAATCGACTTTGACAATTAAGACAAAGCTCACACTGTACAAGACTTTACTAAGACCAATATGGACATACGGAGGGGAACTGTGGGGTACTGCCAAGCCTTACAATATCCAGCACATCCAGTTCTTTCAATTGAAAGTCCTTAGACAAATTGTCAAGACACCTTATTATATCACTTACCCCACACAGACCTCAGCATTCCTTTTGTTAAAGAACTAATCCGGTCCAGATTCCAAACCTTCCACACCAACCTATCGAACCATCCTAACCATATTCGAGCCCTCCACTCATTGTCATACTGACAACCCACCACGTCTCCTCAACTGACGGTGGCCTCGGGACCTCCTTAACCCCTAATCGTACACACTGAGTGCCAGAAACGGCATGTGTTCTACCGGTGCTAGCATTAGTGCTAGTGTTGTGTTGTGTGATATTACATTTGTACATATTTGTATAGTATACTATCATGTATAGGTAACAGATAAATGTAAAAAAAATGCTGGTAAATTTCCAAATTTTCTATTATGTTCATATTTTTGTGCTTTTTCTACGTCGTGAAGTAGTTTCATTTTTATCTGTATTGTGCAGCGTTCATGATGATTTTCCGTGAGGTAATTTGATTTCCCTTAATTAGCCCTAATAGATCAAATATGTTTTATGAATCTTTCTTTTGTATTGCATCCTGTCTGTCCAACGTATTTATCCCCGCATCCTGCCTTATTTTGCGAGTAAATATTTGTGTGTTAAAAAATTATTATATCTGGGAACTTGCTCGCTTAAGGACATCCATATAATATAATGCATATCATACATTAGATATAGATGGGTATAGATAGAGTGTGTGAGAGAAAGAGAGAGTGAGTGAGAGAGAGAGTGAGTGAATTACGAACAGAACGAGGAGATGATAATATGAAGAAAAGTGGCAGAGATATAAAATAATATTCTCTGTGCGTTGATGTGTCAAAACGATTCGTTATGTAGTCAGAAAGTGGTTCGTCTGGCATACGAAAAAACAACAGAACCAAAATTGCTTACCATACCATTTATTTGGCTACGTCTGTTCATTATCAGGAAAAGCCTAATCATTTTGTACTTTTGCATGAATTGTTATTCGCGTGGGTTCTTCTTTTAAGCCTACCATCAATATAATACCAGGTCCTTCACCAGATCGATCTTCTTTACAATGCAGACATCCATCCTGTTGATATAATGTAATATATGGTTTAATTATGTTGCAG